ACTTGCCACGCCCAATGATGACGTCACAGTGAAGTCATATTCTGATTTTTCAATGTTTCTTGTTATTTTTCCACTTAGATACGTAAAATATCAATAATATTGGTAAAGTCATCTCTTTGTTATCCTTTCTTATGAACTAGTAACAAGGAAACACTTGTACAGCGAGAAAAAGCAATAGGAAGCAATAAAATTTAAAATTTGAATTATTATTATTATTGTCAAAGCAAAAAAGGGACAAATTTTACCCCACCCCTCCCCCCAAATATTCGATGTTGAAACATTTTGACGTAATTCAAAAACTAGTCCCAAGCAAAGACCATTTTAACAACAAAAAGCACTATAAGTGTAAAAACGCGATCTTAAAACAAAAAAATCACCATTTTTTAAATTTTCGAAACCCTATGTGTCAGAAACTGGTTGCCATGGCAACATGATTGATCACATGGACATGGTGATTATACCAAAATGTTCTTAGATAAATTTTAGGAAAAGTCAGAAAATTTGAACGTCATAGCTCTTTCGGTGTAGGAGTTATCACGATTTTGCCGGAGGGGGGGTTCGAAAAGCCCCCAGTCTGAATAGGGTTAAGGTTTGAAATAAACAGCTCTAAAGTTTACCAGGCCTTAGACGAAATGTGTGGATTTTACAAGCGAGAAAAGATGGGCTATTTTGAGAAAGAACAATAGGCTTATAGCCAAATTTGCATATTTCTGAACTGCTTTCTCCTTTCTCCCTTCACAGTCAGTTGATTTATTTTCGGTAAATAAACCCGAGACCACGTGGCCCGGACACAAGGCATAGGAACTGGGCACTAGGGACAAAATAACGCCGAATGAGGGCGAGCTGATAGCAAAGTTAGCGGAGACTGTAGAAAACAAATTGCTATCCTTCGAAAATATTACCTGCCAGGTTGGGTTGTATGCCTTTGCTCCACAGCAATGTCCATTCCTCGGTTTAGACAAGATATGTCCTTGGCAGCATATCTATATAAAATAAACGAATAAAGGAGGTTGTTCTAAAGAAACTGTGGTGCTGCGTCGTTGGGGATCATTGCAAGATAATTTAGTATTATCAACTGGGTAACTAATGTGAATTGGCCACCGTAGAGAAATTCGAAAGCTAACTCTTTACTGTGGCCAATTCAGATTATCAACCCAGTTGATAAAACTAAATGTTCTATAAAACAGTGTTGTTTGCAAGAGACATGCAAGAATTTCAATCAGAAAATAATTGATAACATATAAGGCGTATAGATATGTACTTTTTTTTGAGATCGTGAGCGGGCGGAATTCAACAAATCCTGCAATCTGATTGGTTCCTGTAGCGGCCGGATTTCCTCATCGGGACCGGCGCCACAGCGGGCGGAATCCGCCGAATCGATCTATTTTTGTGAACGAATTAGCCGTAATCGTCCACCTTTCGCCCTGTTTACACCTCTGTAATCAATAAATCAACGCACTTTTAACTCTCTTTACCTTTAAATGGCAAGGAAAGTCACCGTAAGTAAATTCAATTGAGTTTTTTGAAGTCGTGACAGATGGTTTGGCTGTTGGTAGGTAGGCGATATAATGGCCCATAATCCTGTGTCTCTCAGTCGATTTTACCTCTCTGATCGTTACTGTATTTGAGAAAATTTCTGTGGAATACACTTAACGAATTAACTCGCTATCTGCTACTCAATTTATGGTAGAAAAGTCTGATTTCGAGTGATCAGCAACGACTGAGAGAAATTGTTTTTGTAGCACAACAACAATCTCGCACGAAATTGCACACCGGGAAAACACTTTTGCAGAACTTAACTGGTGAACTAAATACAACTAACATGAAGTAAATCGAAATAAATTTGTTCTTTAACACATCTTTCTTTGTCTAGTATCTGAATTACTCGCTCGTTCACTCGTTGGATTTTTTACGAATGGTTTGTAGACGGCACGAATTCAATGACAAAGTACAGTTACATAACCAAACCCCCTTATTAGCCAGTTTACTGCAAGAAAAAGTTGTTAATGCCCGGCTTAGTGTCGTTCCGTATAATGAAAACCTGTGACCTTAGATACTGAGCTTGCTCTACCACATTAGTTGGCTGTGACGTCATAGGACGCCAATGACGACATCGGATCCGCCATTTTAAAATTTATCATTTTTTCTTAAGAAGTCAAGAAATAACCAAAGTTAATATAAAATCAAGCCAAAATGCTTATGAATTGAGCAAGTTGGTAAATTTCTGGAATTTGGCCCTAACCCGCCGCTCTCTCTTGTCTGGTCTATCCTGGGGCTCATTTCCCCAACAGCGGCTGGTAATCGGAGCTTAAAACTAGAGAAAAGTACTTAATTATGTCAAAGAAGTTGATTTTTGGCCAAACCTACATGAAATTTGCGGTTAACATGGCAACGTCAAAAATGATGAACACACAATTGCATATCAAAATTTCCGCAAAGGATAAATGAAGATCTACTGAAAGTTAAAGTAAATCATCTTTACAAAACTTTGAAAAAACCAGGGGGTGGTATCCAATCCCTCCCCTCCCTTTGTACGTCCACGGGTTAAAGAGACTCAGTCACGGTATTTTGAGTTATTTTGAGCATCGACAAAAATTACCGTTAAATTGAAGGAAGCCTGAAAATAACACTTTGTAAAGATAGAAAAACATCAAAGTGATGATAATAAACCATAAAGGAACAAGGATGGTTAAGAATGAAGAAGGTTAACACGGATTGCAAACAACAAATTTGAAAAGCTTAGCTAAACTTTTAAAACAGTTTAACCATGACTGAGTCCCTTTAGCGTACAGACTGGAGTAAACATGAAGAAAATCGCGTTTGATCGAGACTATTACGTACCTGCTGGGCTGGATTGTACCGCATTTTTCCACAGCACTTTGCATACCCTGATTTATGCGAGAGACGTCCTTCGCGGCATATCTGTAAAACAGCGATAAATGTTTACGTTTTCTTTTTTATCTCAGGTGTAATGCAGAATATTTTGATAGTTTTTAAACTGTAACTGACATAAAATTTGAAGACAATAATGCTTACTGATACAGAAGTATTTCTAATAAGTCGTGGTAAAGAAAAGTAGGGCTCCTGGAACGATTTTAACGTTCTGATAAAGACAACGTAGGAATGAGAAGACAAACAACAGGCTTCGATACAAAATTCGGACCACTAATGAACGAATGAAGAATTCTCCTTTTCATCATTGACCAGTTTGCATTATAACAAAAGGATTTTTTTTTTTTCGCAAGTATTTAGTTTGTCCGGGATCCGAAATCTTTGAATCTGATTGACTAATTGTGCATTCTCCTAAAGTACATCTCTTCTATATCGGTATCAGATTTGCTGATCTGGATGAAATCCAAGTAAAATCACTTTGCAGCCAGACAAATTGAGTGTTACTGAAACAAAGTGGAATTGATATGGCTCCGTGTGCGCCAATTTCCTTGTACAACTTTATAACTCACGTAATTTACTATCTGAAATCATTAAAAATGTGAAAACCCTTTTTATATTAGCAGCACGAGTCAACTATCGCGCGGTAGAAATAGGGAGCGAACAATTTAATTGTTTTAGTATAAATCTACAAGTCGTTCAAACTTTATCTAAATCCTCTTAACAGACTCATCGGAAACGCCAAGAAGCGGCTGTCATGTTGTTAACAAGGGAACACTGCTACACTACTCACAGAATAGATAGTGAGTAGCTTAGCCAATCAGAGAACGGCATTCATGATAGAACGCCAGTAGATTTATACCAATCTGTATTAGCTGCCACTCAGCTGTGTTCTATTGGGAATACGTGAATCTGATTGTTTCTCTCGTTTTTTGGCAACACGCGCAGTTTCGAGAATTGGAGAATATTGTTGGATGTTGCTTAGTTTTAAATGGGGAATGTTAGGTGACGCGACCTTTCCACTGAGACAGTGGATGACCACTACCGCGTGACGTGATTGAAGAAGAACATTCACCCTGAAAGCCATAACCTGTCTGCCCTTTACTTCCAATACGGGTGCAAAGCACCCTCTTAAGAGCCAGCTCCACGCAACACATGTGGAAGCTGTTGGGTATAGTAGGAACAGCAAGGCACTTCTCCCACTGCAAGTGGCACACTAAAACGCCACCCACCATTTGGAAATAATCAAATGACCACGCAGTGGCTCGAGGATCGAATCCTGGAGACATTTATGAGAGGCACGTCTAAATTACTGTCCCGTGCAACTACTACTTACCTTACCTTTGTACCTTTGATCTTAATGTGGCTCCAAACAGAAGTAAGTTTTATCACAAATAAGACACAAACAGCAGTGATAAACATATTGGACTTGTTCATTTTGATTATGAATTGACTTTTCGTATGTACTCTACATACATTTAGAGTAGAGTATATACGAAAAGTCAATTCATTATCAAAATGAACAAGTTCAATATGTTTATCACTGCTGTTTGTGTTTTATTTTTGATCAAACTACGATGGCCCAAGAACAAAAGTATTTAGAAGTAAGTTTTTTTTTCGGTAAGGAGTTCGAAATACAAGTACATTTCTAAAGTTTCGGAGGGAGGCCTGCGATGAATAATGTAGATTTTACAATCACGGAAAAATGAGCTTTCTGAGGTAAAGCGGAAGAGGCTATACCCAAATAATGACATATGAAGACGGGTCACTGGCAAAACCTCGTTCCCAAGGCCGAGTAGGAGAGGATAAGGGTACATATGAATGTTGTACCCTTACTTTCTCTTCGCCGCGATCCACCACCTGAATCGTCCCCGACTTTCTCTGTCCAATGTCGTAGCTCAGTCGGCAGATGAACGGTAGATCTAATCGGGAGGTCGTGGAGTTCGATTCCCACCGAGGTCAAAAGATTTTTCCTTTGCCTCGTGTGGTTCCCTGATTCCGTTTACTTGGGCTAACGCCCAGTGGGTTATTCATGGGTTTATTTAGCACTTTAATTTACACTTCATAGTTAATTCTCTGTTCCACCACGAGTAGGAGAGGACCCTGGGAACGAGGTTGGGGTCACTAGTTGACAACGAAGCTAACGTGGAGATTGGAAAACAAGCATGCAGAAACTGACTTTCAATCACAAATCGCTATTCAAAAATATTACCTTCTGGGCTGGGTTGTATCCCAGTGCCCCACAGCACAGTGTTGTTGGCAGGAGACAGGCAAGAATTTTAATATCAGAAAATGATTAAACGCGTTGATGCATGTCTTTTTTTCCTCATAAAGTTAATATTGCGTACTCAGCGGCGGATCCAGACCAAGGTGGAGACCTCAACATTTTCCTTTCCTTATGTAGATAAGGCCTAAAACATTTTTGGTTCTCCAGATTTTAACTGATTTCGCGCCTAAAAGAAAGAGGGTAGGGGGTTCCCTTGCATGCGCCACTGGAACCAAACATAATACATAATACATAAGGACTTTTAATAAACTGTAGGTCTGTGCCGTTCTCCAAACGGTACACTGAATTTAAAGCTTTTACTTTGCTATCTGGTTTATCTACCTCTCTCGACTCGCTATATTTTTACCGCCAAAGGGACCAATGTCCAGATATTAAATGAGAAAAGCGGAGACGTTTGCATTAAAGCAAGGTTACCTCTAGCCTCACTTGCATACATGGCCAGGTAACTAAGCACACAACTGTAAAATGGCCTATTGTATAGGCACTTTTTCCATCTTATACCCCATTCCCACCAACTAAACATGTTTAATTAAACCAGGTTTAGAAAAATGAAATCTGTTAAAGAAAAACTGCAACTCTGGCAGGTTTATTGAGAAAGAGGAAACAAATGGTGGCAAAATAACGCCAGAAGAAGAGCCACTGGCTAATAGCGACTTTAACGTGAAGACTAGAGAGAAAACAAGAAGAAACTGACCTTCAATTACAAATCGTTTTTCTTGAAAAATATTACCTGTCGGGCTGGGTTGTATCCCAGTTTTCCACAGCACTTTGTATTTGCAGGTCTAGACCAGAGACGTCCCTCGCAGCATATCTGACAGCAATGACAATGATTAGCCACACACACAAAACAACAGACGTGCAAGATTCCCTTTGAGAGAAAAACCGGCACATGACAATACATATCTCTTAAGACAATTAAGAATTACTGGACGAGTTTGAGCAAAATATCGTCATATGTCAGTGACGAGCAGATCAATCATTTGCCGAAGCCGAAGGCTAAGGCAAATAATTGATCTGCGAGACACTGACAAATCAAGATATTTTGCGATAACCGAGTTTAATAATTGTTTTATCATTCGGTCACCAAGTTTGTTTTTATATTTTCATTACTTCCTGGCAGCTCAGGGAAGCGTTCTGCCATTTTCTTCTCGAGAACGTTGTTCCAATTACGCATGAGCAGACCATCATTTGTAGGCAGTTATTTGCAGGTCACGTGGAAAGAAAAAATGCATCGAATGATAATAATGCTTACTAATGCATAGGTATGATAAATAATTCATGGTAAGAAATTGGAGGGCGCAATGCTGGTTGGTAACTTAATGCTGGGGAGTAACCCTGTGATTGACTAGCATTCCATCCAAAATCCAATCAATCCAAAATCCTTAAATCTAATTTGCACTCTCCGACAGTACATTTCTTCTCTACCCGGATCGGATTTCCGCAAAATTGCTCTGCAACCACACTGACAAAGTGACGAGGCTTTTGTTTCTGTTTTAAAGTGCACATGAAACGAAATTTAACTTATCCATTTTTTAGCGTAATAATGTAGTATTTTTCCGTATTAGTTCATTTCCATTCGTTTTCCTTGTCTGCGTGAAGACCATGAACTCTTTTTAGCCCTTGAAAAATTCAGTCAGCGGTGCAAAATTTTAGACATTTTTCGCGCGGCCCAAAATCCATTGTGACGTCATTCGTGTGTTTGTCAGAAGAGAAAACATGGCGGACAAGGGAAGGAATCGAAAGGAAACGCGTTCCGGGAAAGTTTTGATGCAACCCCTGGCGTTTCAGTGCATCTATTCCCCAAAGACGAGGCCTGGTTTTAAGCCCATAAACACATCTGTCCTTCGTTCAGTCCACTTCGCTCCAGAGTGTTTCACACGAAGTCTCGATCTAGCCGAGTCAAAGCATCATAATATATCTGGTAGTCGTCACTTGGAAAGGGGCTCCATTCCGACGATAGATGTATTGGTAGAACAAGAAAAATCAGAAACAACAGATAGAGAGCGAAGAATGGTGAGTAAGCTTATAATCTTTTTTCTACATTCCACAATTACACATGTAAATTTCAGCGATAGGAGGCGAAATCTAATTCTTTTTAACGTATTTTACGCAGATTATGAGAAAGCTTACAAGTTCTGCGCATTGTTGCTCAGCCGCTGTTGCTTCTCCGGTTATTGCTCAGTCACCTAAAAGTCCAGAATGGTCAGTAGAAATGCCCAAACCAGAGCCAACATGTACCGCAGTTGGAAATGACGATGAACTGCATGAGCTTGTCATGGAAGCTCCCATCAGCGCACCATGGTCTCCGAGTTCTGCATCCAGCGAAAAGTGCTCGAAAATTCGAAAAGTGTTAGGCGTTTGCAAAAAGAGAACTCTTACCTTAGGAAAAGGAACCGAGAGCTAAAAGAACGAGTGAAAAATGTAAACACTTTTTCCGACCTCATCCAGCAATCAATGTTTATGGAACGAATTCGAAACCACTATAAATGTCATTTCATTTGACTTTTCTAATCCTATATTCTGGACGTCTTTTTATTAGTGTGTGACAACCTGGTTAGTGTTGTTGTAGCTTTTTGCATGAAGTCGCTTCGTTTTTATAAATATCCCTCCGTTTATTTCACTTTCTGAACGTAGATAAGACATGTACATGAAGATGAGTCGGATGAGAGCTCTGACAGTTCAGAGGATGAAGAAGGAATCACTGCTAATCAGTTGTTATTTCAAGTAAACATTTCTTACCCAACTATTCAACTTAATAGCAATTATCTCTTCAACTGGTTTAATTAAAATGTTGCGGTAAGATTCATTCTCACCCTGCCCAAATTGCCTGAAGACTTAAAATATTTACTTTGTCTCCTGTGGCTTGTGCATTTTTGCTTTGTTCTTGTTTTGTTAGAGGCATAACAAAGCTCAATGCAATCAGCCCATACCATCCAAAAATCAACTGAACCCCCTGCAAAGAAGAAGACACCTGCAAAGAGGAAGGAGAACCGTGTGCCTGCATAGAAAGGGAACACTAAAATTTGATTCTTTGTATACTTTTTGGGAATATAAGATTATTTCAAAAAGTTTAGGCCAAGACTGTGTAGTCATGCCTTCATTGTACAGTTCTGTCAAACACAATAGAAGGCTGTTCTTCAGACTGAGCTGTGTGTTTAGTGACCTGGTGTTACAGAGATGACTTAGCTATATTTACTACTTTTCAAATGTACAGTGGGTGTGATTTGTAAAGTAGCTAAATGTATATCAAAACAAAGTCAACTTTTCATCAAAGTACTGGTTTCTAAACATACAGCTCAAGATGCTAGTATGTAGTAGACTAGTAACTGTAGTCAGGGGTTGACATACTTGATAAAAAATCCTCTTTTTTTTTCTTTGGGCAAAATATACAACTCAGTGGCAAAGTAAGGAATTTTTATCAACTATAATAGTATGGTTTTTTACTTTTTCTGAACCTTTCATGCCTTAGGGAGAATCAGGGATTACCACCACATGCCCATTTTTCAAGTTTGATAATTTTTATAATGACAGGTCTGTGGTCCAATTTTTGTTCGAAGTCGTATTTATTACTGAACGTGACTTTCACATTTTTCATACTTAATACATGTATAAAGTTCTCTAGATCACTACAAGTTGCCTAAAAAGGCTGGTTCATCTAGTTCCTATCCTCTGATGCTACATAACCAGTTGTGGCATGTGTGAAATATCTAGTTCTTACATTATGACTGAAGATCCAGCGTGTAAGCCATCTGTATGCCGTAGCTCTGAGAAACCTGCAGTAAATTAGAAGAGTTTAACATGTTTAAGATAGAAAAGGGTTTGAGCTTATTCCTCCAGAGTAATGACAGTTTTCCCATCCTTTCGTCGATAACCTCTACCATTTCTGACCTTCAGTAGTGACGCATGATATGCGTTCAATGCTACCATCAAACGTGAGTGAACGGGCACAACCAACTTCTGATCTACAGCATCTGAATTCACGCGCCGATACAAGTGTTGTATCACTGCATATTTTACAAGTGCACCTTCAATTTTATAAAGGCCAGTTTGAGTAATAAATTGAGATTCCAATAGCACAGACTAAATGGTTAGCCTGCCCATAGTTAATAGAGGGAATGGTTATGAAACTCGTCAAAGTTCTTTGCTGTATGTTATTGTTCTGTTTTTTGGCCTTGACCCTGCACAAAACACAATAGTTGTTTACCCCGTACAGAGGAACTAACCAATTGAAGCGTGTTGGTTACGTAACTCATGCATAGTGTGAGCGTAAAACAAAAGATTGTGCAGAGTTGTAGACCTTCCAACATAAATCTTGGCATCTTTGTTTGCTCTTTTGATGTTTGCCGGGCTTCCTAACCAGGTCCCGTCTATTAACTATGGCCTGCCATATATAATCTTTTTACAAGAATAAGGTTCGATCATGTGCATGGTTTCAGGTCGCTCTGAGCTATAAATTTATACCTGCCAACTCTCACGCCTTAGGCGTGAGTCTCACGCCTGCGGGTTGAAAACTTCGATCTCACGCCCGCTTACGCCTGCGGACCAATTTCTCACGCCTGATTGAAAAATGTGAGTTGTTGCCGTCTTGCTTGACACAATTTCCAAAAATATGTTAACTCACACCCATGTAAGGAACGAAAACCATGTGTAAAATGAACAAGAAGACGCCCGAAGGCGTTTACGCGGGATGTGTGGGTTTAAGAAAGAATTACGGGTATGTTGGATGGCAATGGAAAGTTGTGCAGTGTATGCAACAAATGTGTGCAGGAGAGACGGAGATGTTCTGTTAAGGACTAATACACTAGAAGATGAGTTACACACAAGGGTTCCTTTGCTACTCAAAACAAAACTTACATCAATATTACCACCATATATCTTAGTAGTATGGGGTAGTTCACTAAAATTTGCATTCCTTTACTAATGTCCTCAAAAAATGCGCTTCCACATTTAACAATAGCATGTAATGTATCATACTTCCAATAAATACAGGGCTTCAAGGAAGTGCTCTAGGGCCACTTCAGGGAGCCCTTTGGGCTCCCGAAGCATTTTTAGCTGGGGTGCCCGGGCCTCCAAGTTGGTCGCCCAAATTAATAAATCAATGAGCTGTTAGTTAATTGTTAAAAATTAAACAAATTATTTTCTTAACAAGTCAAGCAGAAGTCTGTGAATATTTTTTTCATGAAAAATCACATCCTTTTGACCCCCTGCGCCTGCGAAAAAAAAAAAAAAACCGGCACGTTGTCATATGAAAGTAAGTTTTCGCGCCATATGAGAAACATGGACAACGCCGCCGAACATTTCATGTTTTTTAAATGGCAAAGTAAATTTGGGGTCAAAAATAAGGGCACTATTCTTTTTACTAATCATTTTGAAAAAGAAAGAAAGAAAAAGAAAATTTGCTTATTAAGATTGCGCCCCCAGGGGGGTTACTTGCGTTAATTTTTGCTGGGTATGTGCCGCTGGCCTCTCAGAGCCCCTACCCCATTATAGTCTTTTCTGTGACCAATTGTAGACCCCACATTAGTCACTCTTGGGCAAATATGTAATTTTTGCGATCCCAACTTAGTCACTTTCTATTTACGTATCTAACTTATCAATCCTTTAAATAGGTCATCAAAAAATGAATTGACCCATTTTTTTAATAAATTGAATGAAGAACACTTTACTTTTCACCTACAGTACAAATATCCTGATACGTTTGCTAACCGTAAATATGAACAGCTCTCTTACCCCCAAAAGTAGTAACTCTTTTGAAAATGCAACCCCATTAATAGTCAATCTAGTCGTGAAAATGCGACCTCATCCGGCGGCACATCCCCATTAGCCTCTTTATAAGGAAGGGCCCCCCCCCCGGCCGCCCTAAAACCATTATCTCTTTTGAAAAGATTATCTTGTTGTAAAGTCGTCGTTTAAGCGCAAAACGGAAGTATTTTCTTTCTATATTACCGGTGAAATGTTCGGGACAAATGTAGATTCGGTTAGCATTTGCGTATTTATTTTAATACGTGATACGTAATGCCTTGTCACGACACGAAAGACAATGCGGGATTTATACCCGATTCTAGAACAATCACAATTACTATAGTCGTTTCTTTTCTTTTTTATGCATCGTATTTTACTGGAATAACAATCTTAGTTATGTTTTAGCCTCGCAGACACAGCAGTAAGAAAAGGTAAAAATATTTAAAGAACATAAAAGACCGACCCCTTGTTTATTCAGCGATTTTTCAAAATACAAAAACATTGTTTTGCGTCGCCGACCGTACTTCACGCCTGTCAGAGCAAAAGTAACAATTTGTTTTGAAAAACTAACTAATGAACAATCGTAATTTGAAGAAAAAATTTCAATGTTATTATGAAAAGCTGTTACAATCGAAAACTGTGCAGCTTGTCACGTTCATAGTGAAGGATTATGTTACATGTGAATTCACGTGAAACAACCTTTGAACATCAACGCGTGCCCGCTGCCCGATTTAACAACATTTTCCTAAAGCTTTTTGATAGACATGCTACTTATTGCTACTTACAAGTCGACCTCAAGAGTTTCTTAGCGAGCGGAGCGTTCTTTTTAGGTCGCGAAGCCACCGAGAGAGCTACGATTTCGCAAGTCAATAAATTCTAGACATTCTTAGCTTTTTGACTGTAACTCAACAGAGACAAGAAACCAACACCAGCAAGTCGCCCGGCTGGACCACCTAGACAATATTTTCAGTCGCCCGAGGCCAAGTCTTGCGCCGTATTAAGAGCACGGCCTTGAGTCTTCGTCCTCCTCTACTCAGTGATCTTACTTTTCCCTCCTTTGCTGACGCAGTATCTTTTTTCGGCTTGTGCAATCCAGCCTGACTTGCACGTGCTTCGACGTTGCGGCCAATAAAAATCCACACAATTTTTCGGGACGGGCGCGGGATACGGGAAAGTTAAAAAGACAAGGCAATTTTTTACTCCCAAGACGACGAAAGGAATGTGCTACCGAATTTTAGACGCTGGCTGACTACGTCATCCCGCGTAATAAATGACAATATCTTCCTCGCGATCTCTGACTTTGTGGATAAGCGTTTTCTCGATAACTTCGCCTTCGGCAGACTTCGGACGTCTTCCGAAGACTTCGGACTTCTTCGGGAATCTTCGGAAATGATCGTGTCGTTTTCAAAAACCCCAGCACTCCCAGGATAAAAATCTCACGCCTACATCTCAGAAAAAGTTGGCAGGTATATAAATTTTCTGCTACACTCAGAATCATTCATGACAAAACACAACAGGATTTTCACGTACCAAGCACTGACAGGCACAGTTTTATCAATTCGTTGTTCTAAAGTAGCAACACTCAATCCGTCTTCGTCGACTTCCTCTTCCTCAAGGCCTCCGCCATTTTCATCGGAACTCGCCGAAGGTTCACATTCGTACGGAGCTATATGGCCTATATCTGACCCGATCTCTTCCTCAGAACTTTGTATCGAGTCTAAATTGTCTTCAGCTGAACTTTAGGTAAAGTCTTCGCCGCTTAAAGCCATGGTTTCGTGCAAGGTTTAAAGTGTAAATGACTTGCATTGGAGTCGTTCTCGCTTGGCTGCATACACACGAATTACGTCACGATCCTTTAACTAGAGCCCAGGTCCTTGACTACAATTTTATGGAAAATGGGGCATCTTTAAGCGTCTGAAAAAGTATGTTGCCACCACTTTTGGCACTCTATTTCCCCCTTAAAATAGTTCTAAAGGATCCTATTTTAGGTTAAATTGAAAAAAATGGAGGTGAAATTTCGTTTCATGTGCACTTTAAGCAGTGGAACTGATGCCCACCAACCTTTAAAAAATTGGAGAAGTTACTATGAACCAGCGAATTTACAGAATCAGTAATAATTTAATTGGTTTTGTTGTTTGTATGTGGAAAAAAAAAACGAGGAAGTATTCTTATTATAGAAACTTTCCTTAGTTTACTGAATGACTCCACTTTGATAGGATCCGAACCAAGGTAAATTCAGGTCCTGCAGACACGCATGTTTACTTCGCGAGAGTCTGCGCTTGATTGTAAGTAACTGCGATCCATCTCTTTAAGGAATCTGAGCTAAACTGACGTCACTTTGTTAAATTACCTGCTTATTTATGTCATAAACATTTCCTCCACAGCAAGCCTGATAGCGAGGGTTATATGACTCTCTTCCACAGCACTGAGACGGCTTTTGAACAACTTTTCCAGAACAGCAAACGTGAGAGGAAGGGGTGTAAGAGTAGTGTCTGCAGGAATAAATCAAAACCTATGGCTTATGCAATTTTTAACAGTTGCTGAAATTAGATAATGAGGAAGTTGGCGGGCGTTATTTGAAAGGCTTGGTTCTTATAGTAGAAACTCCTTCTCTTTGTTCGCGCTTTTCCCTTCTCCTACCACTTACCCGTACAGGCGAGACATGTACGAATTACACTTACCCACAGCATTTGTATTGGACTCTGCCACATTGCATACAGTAAGCTTGAACAACTGTGGGAGAAGAGATAAATGTAAGATGTAAGGCAAATGGTTCATGAAATGAATGCGATCGTGAAAAACAAACTTTTTTTCAGGGAATTAAAAAATCCAGTGCATCCATGAAAGCACACAAGATCATCTTTTTAAAAACCTGCTCCATGATTCGACTTCATAACCGAACATTCCTCCTCAAATTAATTATATTTCAATAAAACGTCGTTTACGAACCCCATATGCAAACAGTTATATAAAGCCATTGTTTCTAAGGGAGATCATATTACCCCGGTCCTCTACTTACAAAACTTGGCCTGGAGAGATTCGGTGTATATTCCTGTATTCTAAAGATTTATATGCTTGATTTTGCACCGACATTGTGACGAGAAATGAAATTGCTAATTAACAATTAGATTATTCGCTATCGATTTCTATGAGGTGATAGTTGATGAGGCCGAAGGCCGAATCAACTATCGCCTCATAGAAATCGATAGCGAATAATCTAATTGTTTTAGTAGAATTCTAATTGAAATTAACGCAAATAACGGTTTCCAATGATTTTCCCACGCATTATTGAACTTTACGCTTAAACAAAGTTGACGTATCGAACTGTCCTTGGCAAATTTGCAGTTGTTAACGCGCGTACCCGCATTTTCAATATTTTCAAGATTTTTAAGTCAAGAAACAGTAAATGTGCTTCTTTTAGTCTTCTCAGGAATTTAATTAACCGTTTACATCTAAAATTCCTTCCAAAACTTCGGAAAAACTATAAAAACATCGCATTTCGTGGAAGACCGGCAGCCCCTGCACTCTAATGGCTGATAGTATATCAGTAGCTCAGCCAATCAGATTGCAGCATTTGCATTAGTATACTAGTAGAATTCTACTAATCATCGTTAGATTGTGAAATATGAAATATTCAACATGACACGAGCGTGGGACAAAGAAAAATCTGAGTCCCCGACAGGAATCGAAACCATGACCTCCCGAACACCAGGCGGGCACTCTATCCGCTGAGCTACGAGAACTCATAGAGAGCAAGGTCATTTTACTGAGTTCATATGTGACAGGTGTCCTGCATACTGCTAGGATCAGCACTGCCTTGCTCTCCATGAGTTCTCGTAGCTCAGCCGATAGAGCGCCCGCCCGGTGTTCGGGAGGTCATGGGTTCGATTCCTGTCGGGGACTCAGATTTTTCTTTGTCCCACGCTCGTGTAATGTTGAATATTTCATATTTCACAGATAATTATCGAGCTCAAAATTCACCATCTTCATTCACTTATCATCGTTAGATTGTATAGAAACGTGTTCCACTTACCCAACATAAGAAGCACGGCCGCAGCAAGGATACGAGAGAACTGAGCCATAGTGATTGCTTGTGAAGTCCAAATTCTAAAAGCAAAAGAAAACACTGAAGAGCACCATAGATTGTTAAAGAAGCAAAAATTATAATAGAATATCCCAATGGTATCACAATGATAAGAATGTTTCAAACTAAATTACTCTTTACTGATAGCTAAATTATACCTATGGGACTGCAGAAGGACAAACATGCTATCAGAAATAATTGGCTTAAAGCATAAGGTTAGAACTAAGTTTGAAATTGAAAAATACGTTAATGTTGAGAACAATACCTTAGATAAATTTAAACGAAAATGGGCAATTAATGGTAATTTGTTGCTTAATAGATAATATCATTTCTTTCTAGTAGGAATCATATTGTGTTATGGTTTAGGAAGTGACTGTAATGTGAATAGTTGGAGTGTAATGTAAGAATAGGTTGACAACGTTTGTGCGCAATGTATCTTTTTTGTATAATATCTATGCGCATTGGTAGTATTTAATTAAGGTATGTAATGTGCCTGTTAATAGTAATTTGGTCGTTTAATTAACCAATTAGTTAATAATTAATGATTTAATGTTAGTTAGTAATTTAAACATTGTATGTATTGTTTGTGTTTTAACAATAAATGTTTTTGCAAAAAAAAAAAAGAATGTTTCAACCGTACTTAGGTTCGTATAACAGTTCTCCAAGATATGATTATACATATCTAAGTTTAGTTTGAACTAATTTATGTATTGAGGTATAGAACGTCAGGAACACAGTCCATTTACTGTATTGTTAATTCTCCCGTTTTATCTAGGCGTGTCAAGCCGAGAATGAGCCGACTGATTGCCTATTAATACAATTCACAGCTTTACACATACAGATTTTCATGCCAAGTTCCTTAGCTCTCGGATATAAAAAGGGGTGTCATGTTTATCCAAAATTTTCCAATTACAGTAGAGAAAAGGTAAATCGCGCTGGTTGGTTTACTACTCTCCCTAAACGCGTGGAACAGGCCATAACATCGCCCCAATTTGTCCTTTCTCGCGAAAGGCTGCATTTGCTTCACGCCAAGCGACAGAGTCGTTGCTATAAGAGTAAACAAAGTCTGATCTGGTTTTCTCCCCGCAATGTACAAGAGCGTGTTCTTAACGGCATACTTGTGAAGGATTTTTGAAAGTATTCCTCCGCTATTGCGGCTCACACTAATCCATCTTTCGAAGGGTTGACTTCGAATCTAGCTAATGGCTACTCTCCACGTGAAACTTTATCTTGAGAGACCAGCACAATGTCTTCTACATGTGGGTGGTTCATCCTGGTTCCACTTGTTTCTCACGGTTAACCGATGCAAGTAGTCTTGTTTAGTTAAAGCTTTTCAAGTTCTGGTTGAACAATTTCCGCAGGCGACGATATCTCTCAAGTGGTTAATGGCATCGAGTTGAACTCACTTCTATTTCGACCGATAGTGTTCAGCTCGGTGTACAAAACGTTTCCATCAGCCGCCTCTCCAAAGCGAACATTTAGTGATAAATTTCGACTTGACGAGATTTAACAACAGTTCGATGTGGGCTTGATCCAGTGTATACCATACTGAGAGGCTTTATGTATTGAGTTGGTCATACAACGTTGATTTCTTTGTTTGCTGTCTTAAAATTCTGTTCATTCTGTCCATAGACGACTGCGACTTTTCATGCGGTCAAAGGTTTGTAGGAACTCTTCTGTATACCCTTCATCACGAGCCCTGAGTTATTTGTCAATTTTTCAGTTGTAGGTTTAATGTAGCTGTCATCAAATCTCTTTGACCCCGGACATCGCCATTTGAATTTTTAAAGAGGTGTTTTCTGTGTCAGCTTCTGTGTCTTCTTTCAGACAGTCGTCGAAATACATGTTATGTAGAACTTACTCCACAGAATTAGGAAATGAGGGAATGTCTCTGAGTATAACATCATCATCTGGTCCTCTTTATCCCATAGGTTGGGTGACAAAGGGCCTCGGCCTCTGAACCGTTTCTTGCCACCTCTGTCGGTCTTGAGCCGCTCTTTAGGCGTTGCACCAATTGAAGGTCGCCTCCATCATATCTTTCTGAATGCTTCTGCGCGTTGTAATTTTCGGTCTGCCACGTTTCCGAGTGTTTTTTGAGTTCCAGTATATCGCGTGGCGCGTTATGTTCCGCCTTAGCGTATGACCAATCCACTTCCAGAGTCTTCTGTTGATAGGCTCTAGATCAATTCTTTTCCTTGGACATCTCTGGCCAATATGCTCTCGGAATTCCCCTTAGATACTTGCTGATGAAATTGTTTACTTTCTGTTTTTGATATTGCCACTCTCCATTTCCCTGAAAAGTGCATGGGGGAGCAGGGATGGCGCAGTGGTGAGAGCGCTCGCCTCCCACCACTGTGGCCCGGGTTCGATTCCCGGTCCCGGCGCCACATGTGGGTTGAGTTTGTTGTTGGTTCTCTTCCCTGCTCCGAGGGTTTTTCTCCGGGTTCTCCGGTTTTCCTCCCTCCGCAAAAAACCAACACTCCAAATTCCAATTCGATCCGGAAATGAGGGCCACGGGTTTGTCAGCTTTGCTGTTAAGTGTTACCCGCACTAAATAACGTTGAATAACGTTGATTATTAAAAACTGAATCATTGGATAATGCATTTCCAGCATTTTCATTGGCTTAGCCGTTATGGTATATGAGCTATTATACCATGCTCTCCATATATGGTCGGTGCACGCGTCAGTTTAAAATTGGAAGCTAGCTGAGATTTTTTTTCGCGAAGGATAGAACGGCAGCCGAAGCAAATTGTTTTAATTCATTTCTTAGAATATACTAGAAATGCAATTTCATCGAAAGAAAAAAGACAAAAACAAACAAAAAGCCACAAAAGCTTGTCTGAAAGTTTGTCGAAAAACACATGAAAACACATGGAACTAAAGTACCTTGACCAGCTACGAAAGAAGACAAGTGTTGTTTCTTCATGATCGCGAAGCCATTCGCCGATCGAGTCACTCGCCGATGGATAACTGCGGCTTGTTTATCTGACATCAAGAATATAAATCACAAGTAACCAGCTACAAATACAGGCTATGCAGCCATTCACTAGAGCACCGAGGCGGCAGTATAGCTTCTTTTCTCGTTCAGCAAAACCAGCTTGTGGCTTCAAACAACTTCATGACAAGCGACCGAGGTAATAGTTTTTCTCCGTTGTTCTTACTTTTATAACTGCACTGAAAATCCAAATTCACAGTAATTTCGACGGCTGTCACTTAAAAATTATTTTCCTTCACATTATCTGCCAGGTTTTTTTAGCTGTTCTGCTGTGTAAAATCCTAGAATCCCGATGAGTTTTTAAAAACTAATCTTCATCGCTACAATGTTTTGATTTTTCATTCATGCAGTCCAGGCGAGTCCATTCGCGCGTTGACAGTTTTGATAGACGTGTGACATGTGAATAGCGGAAGTCCCTTGTCTTTTCCGGTTTGTTCTAGTCGGGGAGATTCAACGAGATTTTGTGGGCGTTTTTAATAAAACAATTATTCCACTCGCGCTTGTTGGATATGAGATGATTATAGCCAACTCGGCGCTACGCGCCTCGTTGGCTAACTATCATCTCATATCCAACGCGCCCTCGTGGAATAATTGTTAATTATTGGAACTGTCTATGCAATGGTTAATCTCTTCCTTAGTGATGTTGCCGATGCTAATTGGCAGATCCGCAGGAGTGTGCCTTTTAGATGTTGTTGATGTTAAGTGATCGCTCGATCTTTCAAGTTTCAGTTATGTTAGCAGGCTTCCAAGATTGTTTCCAATTGGGCAGTGATAGTTCTTGTATGACCACTAAGTTTGCGTGTGATGTTATAGACTGTCTTTATGTCCTCTTTTCCGGCCGCTTCCTCTGCATCTCCAGCCAAGTTTTTTTTTTAAGTGAGTTCGTTTGTTTTTCGCAACTCCTTTTCACTTCGCTGTCTTTCTTAAAGTACTCTCTCTGTCCTTGTCTCTTTTGCTGCCTGCTCACTACTAAGTTTTCTCATCTTTCGTCTTTTTGCTTCCAGTTTGTTATCCAGTTCTTTTTCAAGTTTGGGAACAAGCTCTTGCCAAGACAGGGATACAATAATCTTCTACCATGGTACCACAAAACAAACTAAGCATAATACAATTTAATTTATAATTTATAATCATTAATTCTGCTATCTTGCTGCACTTGATATAAAAGTTTTATTTAAATGTATCGAAAAATATCGATTATAATAACCTGCGGTCATTAGAAAAAAACAACTAATGTGCTGAAAATACAGATAAGAATTCAAACGTACTTTTGGATTTTTACCTTCCTACGGATGTCAACAATTGTGATCGGGTATTTGCAAGGGCTGGTGACTTTTTTCAACGTTCCTCATGGAAAAAGCTCGGCTTATTCATTAATCTTGGCTAAGATATCTAGAATGCTTACCTTTATTGTGATTCAAGGCTTGTTTGATTCTCTGTGGGCGAAAACGTTGAAATGATACAACTGCGAAATAGAAATAGAAATCTTTGTTTAGAATTTATGGTAAGAGATAACTATATCTGAGAAGGATTCAGCGCAGTTTCTATTTTTCTTGCCCAGTGGACAGATTGAGTCATGAGTTATTAAACCATAAACAACTTCTTTTGTCTTCATCGGCGATGGACCAAGACCACATCGCGGTTTCAATTTGAAAGTACCGTGATTATAACAAAACGATTGAAGATGCAAAAATACTGTTTAAACCAGAACTGCAAATTAACGCATAAACTTCTCTGATACGTACTTGTCGCTGATCAAAACGTAATAGAAAATATCGCTGTACGTTATCCAAAGCCTTGTTTTGAATGTAGTGAACAAGAACAGAACAAGTTTCTAAAACAAAAGACATTAAATTCTAATTTTTATTCTAACAAGCAACCCAATTCTAACAAGCAACGCTATTTGCTAGAGCAGTTTGTTTAATCGTGGATCTGTCCAATGAAATGAATTGTTCCATTCTTGTCTAGATTGCCACGCTTTGCTTTCTCGAGTAAAATGACAGCA